CAGACCAGTATCACAGACCAGTGCCACAGACCAGTACCAAAGACCAGTATCACAGACTAGTATCACAGACTAGTATCATAGACCAGTACCACAGACCAGTATCACAGACTCTGACACAGTTCTCTGGTTCTCTGTGGTTCCATGGTTCTCTGTGGTTCCATGGTTCTCTGGTTCTCTGGTTCTCTATGGTTCCATGGTTCCATGGTTCCATGGTTCTCTGGTTCTCTGGTTCTCTGGTTCTCTCTGGTTCTCTGGTTCTCTGGTTCCGTTCTGGTTGGGTCTGTTGGACTGACGGGACCCTTGTGTTGTCCGTCCCCAGGTCCATTCAAGGACTGTCTCCATGCTCTGGAGGAGGGCCACATTTCCAGCGGCATGTACCTGGTGAAGCCGGCCCACGCCAACCGCCTGATGCAGGTGTGGTGCAACCAGAGGCACGACCCCGGAGGCTGGACGGTGATCCAAAGGAGGGTGGACGGCTCCGTCAATTTCTTCAGAAACTGGGAGACGTACAAGGTGAGGGACCCCGGACCATCGTCGCCACCACTGCCTCCATGTGGTTTCACTTGTTTATCACCTGGTGTCGACACCAGGTGTAAACAGGAAATGACGGAACAGTCAGAGCTGTCGTCAAAGTCTGGAGCCAAACACTGTCGAGTTCTCGCGAGAAAGTCGTGAGATTTGGGACGACGGTACCAGGTCCCAAATGTAAACAAAGGCAGCGAACGTAAATACGTTTCCCTAACCAGGTCACAGCTCAACTAACTAAGTGGTATACACCTACCAACAGCCAGGTGGCAGTGTGGTTGTTACTTACCATCGTTAACTCACGTCTGTCTTTAAGTTCCGCGGCACAAAAGCGTCCGGTTTTAGCTCCGCCTCAGTCCGAATGTCCACGTCGACTTTCACCACTTCGTCGCCGGACAGAGAACCTTCGTCCGGGCCACAGAACCACCCGTCGCCGCGGCGGAACCACTGACCGTCTGTAATCCTCCGGTTCATATCCGCGGTTTTATTTTCATTTCTTTCTCTTTTTTTAAACCTCCGGTGAAGACGCGGCTCTACTGTGTTGGTTTATCGCGGTTTACGTTTCTGTCATAACACCGTTGACAGAACCTGAGAATCTCGCTCGGAGGCAGTGTCGTAAAACTGTCGTAAAACGGTCACTCTCGTTACAGACGTAAAAAAACACCGAACCAAAAAAAAAAAGAGGCGTAAACAACAACATAAACACGAACACAAAATCCAGGTACGTTTTGGGTTCATCTGTGAAGAGTTTATTTTATTATTATTTCTGTTTTCTGGATCATTCCGCGGGAACCGCTCCTGGTTACGGCCGTAATAAACCTAATAAACTCCTTTACGGTCGTTTTACGCTTATCAGTTACGGGAGAACAGAACATTTGACGACACTTAAGATTAGACACGTCATAATAAAACGGACTTATTTTAAAAACAGACTCCAAAAAACAAACAAAAAACAAAACAACCAGGAGTTTTTTGACACCAACGTCATCATTCTGCC